TAAAAAAAATCTCCCAAAAAAAAAAAAAAAAAGATACATGCTTTGTAACAATTTGTTTCCAGTCTGTACCCTTTCATTCTCTATATTGTCCTTTTTCCCACTTTATTGATAGATTTATTTATTTATTTATTTTTACAATTAGAACCCAACTTAATTGTTCCAACCAATTTTTATTTACAGAATATAAATCGCTTCAAAACGATACATTCTTCTGGGGCCAGCAGATGGCATAATAGTTACATCACCAGATTCCCACGTGGTTGACCATGGTTTTAGTCCTGGACCTGGCAGCTTAAAACTCATGCCAGGCGCATGTGCATGTGTGCCCAAGATCCCTAGAGGAGAATGGAGGAGAAGGGATTGTGGTGTGGACATCCCCCCTGGGGAATGATTTCTCCATTTCTGTCTCTCTCTGTCTCTCTAGCAAGTGTACATGCCCTATTGCAAAAATCTTTCTTAAAAAAAAGGAGGGGGGGCTGGCAGATTGCATGGTGGTTGAGGTGTTGGACTTCCCACATGGACAACCATGGTTCGAGTCCTGGACCTGGTGGCTTGCTTTCTCACTTTCCCTCTCTTGCTCTCTGTCTCTGGTGAATTCATGTGAAAAATAATAATAATGACAATAATAAAATTAAATAATTCTTTAAAAAAAGATAAATTCCTTCATTAAATCAATGGTAAAAAATCTTGTTAAATAGATGTAAATTTAAATATCTTGAACAGATACAGCTTCATTAAAAGCTTATGAACAAGGATCAGCAGCAGGTGGTGTAATGGTTATGTCACTGGACTCATGTAGTTCACCGTGGTTTGAGTCCTGGACTCAATGACATAGAACTCATAGCAGGCATGTGAGCATACATGCCCAAAATCCTGAGAGGAGAATGGAGGAGAAGGAATTGTAGCGTGGCCATCTTCCCTGGAGGGGAGTAATTTCTCACTTTCTGTCTCTCTGTCTTGTCTCTCTGGTGAGCGCATTCATCCTATAACAAATCTCTCAAAAAAGTTTATGAACATAGGGGCTAGTGGGTGGCAGAGTGGTTAAGACACTGGATTCCCATATAGCTAACCACAGTTGGAGCCCTGACTTTGAATATCATGCAGGGTGCGTGTGTTTGTGTGTCCAAAATCCTGAGAAGGGACCGTAGTGTGGCCATCCCCCCAAGGGGGTGATTTCTTACCCCCCCTATCTATTTTTTTAAGAGATTTTTGCTATAGGGCATGTACGCTCACCAGAGACAGAGACAGAAAGCAAGAAATCACCTGGGAGGGATGGCCACACCTCAATCCCTTCTCCTTTAGTCTTCTCTCACGATTTTAGGCACGCATGCACATGCGCCTGACATGAGTTTTAAGCCTCCAGGTCTGGGACTCAAACCGTAGTCAACTACATGGGAGTCCAGAGATGTAACCATTGTTCCATCTGCTGGTCCCACACTTTCTCTCTCTCTGTTTCTTTCTCTTAAGTGCATGTGCCCTATGGCAAAAGCCTAAAAATAAATAAATAAAAGTTTATGAACATAAAATAAAAATGTATTTTAACTTAAGCAATTACATGGATGGAGCTGTTTTCACTTTTCTTCAATGGCAACCCCATTTTATCCAAAGAACAAATTTTGCTCTAATTAACAGGAAAAATGTAAAAATTAATTAAATGCTAAATATGAAAATATGCAACAACAATAAAACGGGAAGTGTCTTCATTACCAAACAGATTAAGAAAATTCAAAATTCTCTGACACTCAGATACTTTCTGAGCATCTCAAAATACTTACATCAAAAGTTGTTTTCATTTGGGAACCAGCAGTTAGCGTAATGGCTATGTCGCTGGACTCCCATGTAGTCGACTACGGTTTGCGTACCGGACCCGGTGGCTTAAAAATGACCGCGTGTGCGTGCGTGCCCAAGATCCCATGAGGAGAATGGAGAAGGGATTGCGGCGTGACCATCTCCCCTGGGGGGTGATTTCTTGCTTTCTGTTTCTATGTTTGTCTGGCAAGCACACGCGCCCTATAGTGAAAACCTCTCCCGCCCCCCCCCAAAAAAAAGTTGTTTTCATTTGAGAGGTATCAAAACATTTTCAGTGCTGAGACTATTTGTAGCACTTAAAGTGTATACAAAGCAGAATTATACTACTATGGTTCACATTTGATAAACAAGTTTTGTCTGAATTTCCCAGTACAATATACAGTGACCTGATGACAATTCATTTTTTCCATCTGAAGCTGATAAGGCAATTATCTTTTTTTAAAAGAATTATTTTATTTAACTTTATTTGTTTATTTTAATTTGACCAGAGAGGGACAGAGGAAAGAGAGTAAGAGAG